CTGTGCAGTCTTGAGGCAAATTTACTTCCCTCTCTGTTTTACTTATGCCCTTTAGCAGGTAGTCTTTGTTCAGTTTTATTCTGTATTTTTAATGGCACTGTGGTTTTTGCGTGTGTATTTTCATCGACCCTTCTTGACCATACTATTTCAGTGATTATTAAGTTCTCAGGTTTTCAATGAGTCACTGACATTTTATGTTTTATTATTTTTTCAGAGTTAATGCGCCGCAAATATTTATTGGGTAATTCCAAGGCATTTAAATGGATCTAGTATTTGAATTATAAGTTAAATCAGAAAACTGTTTGATTTAAACCACAATCAGCCATCATCAACCTTCATTAAGAAATCAACTAAAGATGCCGCTCATTTACTTAGGCTCTGGTGTGCTTATTTCTGAAAAGAGGATACTATACCTTGCTCAAAGAAGTATTAGAACGTGTATTTTTCTGTTGTCCCCACATATGCAAATTATGTTCATTTTATTCTGTAGGCTACATATCTTCTGCAAAACCTTCATTTGCTTGTGGGCACAGAGCTAAATTTCAGCTCCTATGCCAAGGTAAGAAATTTGATAGCTGACTAAAAGGCAAGTGATTTTATATGCAAGTTTATATTTATCTCACTTTTTACTTAACCGTAATAATTCCATATTCAAAAATGCTTATAGCTATTTCCTTCAAGAGTTTTTAAAAAATACTTCCTTGTACTACTCAGATTTCAAAACTGACCCAAATGGCACAGCATCAGACAGAAAAAGTAAACAGAGAATCAGCTGCCAGCTGGATGCCGCCCTTCCCGTAGCTGACACCTCTAGCTGTCTTAAGCACCACTCATGTAAATTGCGGTCTGGTCACTTAGACCGTTCATCAAGTTTTTATTGAGCAATTTCTATGTGCTTAGTACTGACTGTGCTAGGCTCTGTAGGTACAAAAGATACATAAAACACAGGTCCTGCCCACAAGGAGCTTACAATGTGGTTGAGTATTAAAACAAACATTAAAAACTACAAAAGTTCTAAAAATATATGTCATACAAATCATTTTATATAAAAAATTTCAGATAATGAAAATAAAGCCCTAGACATGAATGAAATTGAGAGACACTTTTATCCATAGGCATGAGTTTAGAGATATTTTGGACTAACAAAATATTCAGTAAAAGTCTGGATTAATGAAAAATACAAGCACAAATATTTTTAAGACAGCAACTGGACATTTAAGTAGTCATAATCACCAAAAAATATAACAAGAAAGATATATGTCATACAGATCCTTAAGATACTTGCCTAATGACAATTATCTTAACCAGTTTCTTTTAAATGTGTTAACTACTGAGGATATTGAAAAATAAATTTCTTCTACACAGTTTATTTGATTTTCTGATAACTTTTATTTTATTATTTATTTAACTTTTAAAAGTTTTTTTGTAGATAATAAAAAGGCAGACCAATTTACCTGAATTTTTATATATTTTGTGGACCACAGTAAGTAACTATAAGACTCACATACACATGTACATATAAAAGATAAATGCACTATTTTTCTCCTCTGTCCTTGGAAGAGTGTGAATATGAGGGGGATCCCAAAAAACTGAATTTATTCATACAATATTGTGCATTTATTCTTATATGTTTAAACTTCACCTTCAAAGTACTCTCCGTTGGATGCAGTACACCTACCAAGACTCTTTCCACTGCTCAAAACGGTTTCTGGTCTCATCCATTTTGATGTCTTTTTTTTGTTTGTCTCACCTTTTTCACACAGGCAAAACATTTCCCTCTGAGGACGTTTTTCAACCCAGAAAACAAAACTAAGTTGCTCAGAGCAAGATCAGGTGAGTAGGGAGGGTGAGGCACAGGGGCCATGCCATTTTGGGTCCCAAATTGCAACACGGTGTGGGAAGGTGTGTTGAACCGCTGCACATCATTCGTGTAAATCGCCCACTGTGAAATGGGCTGATGCATTGAAAGAATCTCTAAATAAAAGTTCATTGATGCTGAACACAGCATCTGATAAGGCTAGATGGTACACTGACGCCAGTGGGTTCTTGGAACAGTTGTTTAGCAGAGGAAGCCTGTACTACAGGGACCCGTCCTCCAAAAAATAATTCCGTGTGTGTGTGTGTGTGTGTGTGTGTGTGTAGGGGAGGTATCCCCTCATACAGCTTCTGATGGAAGGCCAGTTTCTTAAACCTAATATTCCCTGTTCTCTTAACGTAGCCCTGACTGTAAGATCTCAGCATGCCTCTTCACATGACCCTGGCCCAACCTCTCTTGGAGGCAGTCCTGGGTTTTGTCGATCTGTTTGTTTTTGTTCACACGGGGTTGCATGGGCGCTGAATGACAGCGCAGGTGCTGCACCAAGATGGAGCTGGAGTTGGCAGCCATTCATTTCTCCCAGTGCAAGAGTCAAAGGTCTAAGATGACACAGAAGGTATGGTTGCGCAGCATCAGGAAGCACATCTCTGCATCCCACTTAGAGCATATTAACGTTACCTCTTTGTTTGGCATATGTATCCCGTGGAACTTCACAGAAGTTTACTATACTTGCAATAAAACTTGGGCCAAGCACCGTTTTGCCACATGTCACATTTTTTTGGCAAAGTTCCTAAGGGATTTACTTCATTCTGAGGGTTAGTCCTGTTCTCATTATAATCTCATCACATAATAATGAGGATCTATGTTTACTGAAGATACAAAAATGAAGACAAAGGCGTTTGTTAAAAGCCAGGAAGCATGTTGCTGGCTCATGCTCTGGGGTATTTGAGCACACAGACACAGAACTCACTATTTCTGGTGAATTTAGTATGCAATGGATACGCTTCTGTGTTAAAAACAAAAGTGTTTTTGTACCCACTCGGTTTTTCTGTGAGCCTGAAACGACTATAAAAAACTAAAGTATATTTTTAAAAATATCAAAAGTACTTTATAGTGACATATACTGTCTCTGCCTGCGATTTCAAAGTAATTGGACAACTATTATCTCTCATATGAGAAGTAATTTTTGCCAAATAGTCATTATTTTAAAAACTTTTCCACTTGTTTTATCGCATATTCCTTTCACAAAAGAGCCTTAATCAACATTATTATATAAAATAGCATGTGATTATTGCCCCTGGATATAGACATTTTTAAATCGGGAAAGTTTAACAAGAAATTCTCCAAGTTGAACAACAACATGAAAACAAAGGGCTATCACATTCATTTAAATTTTCAACTTCTAATCTTGTATATAAATGTTACCTTTGCTGATAATGTACTAAATAAGTAGCATCCTTCTAGGTGTCAAACACTACATTAATGCCAAGAGACTCAAGAAAATAGAGGAAAACGGTCCTCTCCACCATGAATTAGAGTTTTGTCAGGGAACAAAGACAGATATTTAAGGAATAGTACAATAATCACCAAAATGAGCACTGTGTAACTTCAGTTGGACATAGAGGTAAGAACAAAGACACTTAAATTGTCCAAGGCCTAGGGACAGGGTGAGATTTGAACATGTACGAGAAGGGTGGATTTTTCATGGACAAAAATAATTATGAAGTATTATGAACAAGAATAAACCTAGAGGCCTGGAGATGGTTCTGTTCCTGACATCAACCCCACAGAGTCAGGAAGCCAGTTTATAACTGAAATTGAGATCATATTAAATCGTTAGGGATAAGTCTGCGTAAGTAACTGATTGCAGTTAACACCTGCAGAGTCTCTCTTGTGTTGCACTCATTTTACATACATTATCACAATGTGTAACCCTCCAGGTAAATATTATCTTCAACTTTTCGGTTAATTTATTGAGAGGAAATGAATTTAATTAACTTTCTGGGGGTCACAGAGCTTGTGAGTGACACAGCCAAGTTTAAATCCAGCTTTGATTCCAAAACCCATACTTCTAGTACTATAGTACGTTGTTTTATAAACATTGTTGTAGCAAATCGCTTCCCGCTGTGTTGCAGGAAGAACAGTCACCTGGAATAAAAAGCAAAGCTGAACCTGAATCTGAGTTCTTTCTTATACTAGCCACGAAATAGCGGGTGAGCCCTCTGTAAGCTGCATGTTTTGAAAAAATGAAATAATCAATCGATGGTAGCTAGACGACCCCGGAGGTGAACGATGAAAGAGAGAGGTTTCGAGAGAGTGGGCGTGCCTCTGGGGTGGCAAACACTCTGTGCCCAACAAAATCCACGGAACTTAAACAGGAATAAAGGGATTCTGCACAGCATCAGCTTTGTGTTAGCTAAGAGAATTTCAAACACCAAGGTGAAAGAAAATAATTGTGGCTTACAGCTCATTCACAACTGGCTCTGCTGTTTAAGAATGACTCGATTATTGGGTAATTAGCAGAAATGGCAGCGCAAGCCCCAGGATAGGGTCCTATGGCAAGACTGCTGATACCACGTTTCTGTCTCTTCCAAAGAGGCCCGGATAGTGACCATATGACCCTTATCGCAGTCAGAAGAGGAGACATGCAGCAAATATGTGCTGAATCGAGTGAGGGGAAGGTAAAAAGAGCAGGGAGAGAAAGACACACAAAGCCAAGAGGAAGGAAAGCTGGCTGGATTTAAAAGTAGGGCACATTCGCTGGAAAATATTAGATGACTCAAAGTGTCTTTTTAAGGTTCACGAAATGTTTTATTTTAATACAGACATATAGACTATTTTATAAAAGGTAACAAAAGTTGATATTCAATAACTGTTATTTATTAATTTTGCCTTTTCGTATGCTGCTACAGAAGAAATTCTAAGAAATCTTGAATTGGCAGTGGTGAATCAGAAGGCCATGAGTGGATTTTGTATTGCTTTAAATGAAGAGTTAATTATTTAACCTCAAAACTGTTAGTTATGACGCTTCAAGCATGCTCTTAGCTGCATTGCCCCTTTGTCTTCAAAGGCTCAGAAATTATAATTAAGCAGATTCCTGAGTTGCTAAGTGACACATAACCAGAACTGAGATTTGGAAACATTTAGTTCCCAGCTTAGTCCACAGGGACATAACATCTCTAACATTAATCACATAAATGACATTTGGCATAAATATTCTTTGTCATGGTACCTCTTTGCCTTGTTCTTATTAAGCTCATATCCTATTAATTGAATTCTTGCTTTAATAAGTTGACTTTTCACTGTCAAAAACTTATATTGATTTTTCAAACTCATTGTAAAATCAAAACAATCATAAAATGTAAAGATGTCAACATTGGTTATGATTCAGGTAAAGGTTTGAAGTTGGAGAAACTCCTGGACCACGAGTCTTTCTTTTTCTCACTTCTTCCACCAAACATCATCTGTGAAATCTTGCCCAACTTCTTAAATGCATATTCAAAATCCCATCCAAGAAGCCAGTTTAATATTCAGAGGCATGGATTAATAATAAACCTGATCTCAGTGAGTATTACTGACAAAAATCAATAAAATAAAAAATAAGATAAAAACGAAGAAACAATTCAAATCAAAATATAAAATTCTCCTTCTCGGGTGAGAAGAAATATGCAATCTCAGTGAAGAAGAAATTGCAACAAAATGTCCAACTCCGTCCTTTCATTATCTGTTAGAATAGAGAGAGAAAGAAGCAATAAGCATGGATAGGGATAATTCGTTAAAATTCTGTGTATGGTGTGAGGGGTAAGATATATGTAAGAAATTTGTAGCTTTAGACATTCAAAACATTCTCATTGGATTACATGCGTTTTATAAACAAAAGCAATTGTAGGCACATTAAATGATCTTGTTGAAACAAGTCCCAATTAGCATATAATTACAGCCTAAGAAGAAATAAGGAAGAGTGCAAGTTGAAATTGCCAGGAAATGCAATTTTATCCTATCAAACCGACAAAGTATTCTGTTTATTTGTTTAAGGTAGTACACAGTGTTGGTTAGGGTGAAGCAAATTTCATCACACATGACTGACAAAATTTTAAATCTCTATCATTTTTTAGGAAGAAGTCTGACTGACGTACCTCTTTAAAGAACATTAAAAATTGAATACCATTTATTCATTAAAGTTTTCTTGAAGTAAAAAAATACAAATATTAAAAACAATCTCTGCAGTTTCAGTCTTTGGGCAACGATACAGTACGATTTTCATCATGGTGCAAAATCTGACTGCAGACTAGGGATCGATAAGCTGTAGCACATTATTTTGAGAGATTACTAATAATTATTAAAAATAAATTCACAAAAATGTGCATATAGTCTGAGAAATGCTTATGTCATATTAATGAAATAAGAATAAGATTCAAAAATGCATCTCATAATATCCTAAGTATACAAAACAAAATTGAGAAAAGTACAGGGAAAAAAATAGAAAAAAAAATAGTAAAATGATATTGAGTTTTTCCTGAGCAGAGAAATTGAAATTGCTTTTCTAATTTTCTTCATTTTCTAAAGTTTCTGTACAAAATATGACTTTTTTTATTATGAGAAAAAAGTACAATAAGATTTACTTTAAAAATTAAAACTGGAATTAGAATATACCACAAAAAGAGATGGGAACAGGGTATATCCCTTCTCTTGCCTCCCAAGGGAATCCGCACTTATCACAAAATAGTGTCCAGTGTATTTTATATATATTACATATATAAAATATATACAGACATTTGGTGAAGGATGTAGGATCATAAAGGTGAATTAAGTAAAAATTGTATGATTTTTTTAAGTTATTCTGGAATCAACTAGCTTATCCTTATCCTGCAGACAAAGTTGCACTCTGTGGCTCTGTTGGAAAAACACATTCAGATCCTCCCCTGAGAAACAGCAAACTTTCTCTGTGACCTCAAGCACGAGAGGATGAATGACCAAAAACCCTGGGCTTCTTGAACGTTCACATCCACAATAACAGCTAGTACGAAGTAGAAGCTTTACTGTGCCCAGCACTACCCAGAGAATGGAGTAAAATGAGCATGTTGGCTTGTCATAAAAACGAACAGTTCGACCCACCTGATAAGTCAAGTGTGCTATCTTTGAAAAAAATAAACTTTTTCATGTTCTTTCTTAAATAGAAAAAGCACACAATGCAACAATACCCAGCAGACCTTTGCACAATTAACCCTACAGTAACTAACAGAAATACTGAAAAGAGGTGTTTGAGGAGGAAACTAAAGCGTGAAATTTGATCTGGCCAATCACACATCCCATTTGGCATCATGTTCTGCTTTCTAGAGTCTGCATTCATTGAAGTGCACGTCTTGTACACAACAGATCTAACCAAAAGCACAACGGAGAGTGTGCTAGCCATGTAGCACACTGAATTCTCATGTCTAATTAAACTAAGAGTGGCTTGGCCTTGAAGTGCTCTTGGAGACAGTCTTCACTATGCAAGGTCAGTGACATGCAGACTCGCAGGGCAAGAGTCCAGCAATCACAGGACTGGACCGCAGCCCATGTTAAGCCGAGTTTTAAACACAAGAACAGCTCTCCTAAGGAATCTAGCACTCCTCAGTCAGACGTGGATGCTTAATTTGCATTTTAACTCTTGGAGCTATTCTTCCTTTGCAGTGTGAACTCAGATGAGAACAGAGAGGCTAGGGAAGCCTACGCTGTTAGTCCGGGCGGTGCCTAAATCTCACCTTTCCAAATGGTCACTGCACATCAGGATTGAGGAACACTGGTGGGGTAAGGAGGTGGAGCTGGGTGCGTAGTTGTTTGTGTGGCGCCCGATCTGCGAACAGACAGAGGGTTTCAGTGGGCAGAATTACTGATGCCGACTCTTTTGTCACATGATACTTCCTCGAACATCTGGGAAGAGCAGAACCAAAGCCTGAGTGTCAACTCACGCAGACCTTGATCAAGTCAGTAAAGACGCTTTCGATGCCATCTTCCCACGGCCATTTCCACTTCATGCTTTGGCTCACATTCTTATTTCCTCTATCCTTCCACACCGAATACTTGAACACTTAGACCGTGACTCATATGACTTCTAAATCCCTAGAGAAGTTGCCGATAGTTCTCGCTAAGCGCTGAATAAAACTCACTCCCCTCAAATAATTGGTCAAGGAAGATCTATTCATACCACTCTCCACCTTATTGTTGTCTGTGATCTGTCCTTGCTCTGGGATAAAGATCAGAGTCCTTGACACAACCTTGGAGGCTCTGCTCGATCAGGCCTCTGGCTGCAACATCAGCTTCTTTTCAAACCTGCTGCCCTTTGGCTCTTCTGTGCTCAGGCCACACTAGCCAGCTTGGGACATCACGAACAGGGTCACTCTCCTTTCTACCTCGGGCCTTTGCCCTTGCAGCTCCCTGCTTGGAGTGCTCGTCCACTCCTTCCTCACTGGCTGAGATCTGCTCATCACTAGGGTCTCGACCTGGAAAACCCCTTCCTCAGAGAACATCCTCTTGGCAAGGACTTGTCCCCCACCACATGATACCCACGGTTTTTCTTTTCAGGAACTCGCCTAGTTTGAAACTAACAGCTATGTGTGGGATTGTGTACTGAGAGTTACCATAGTATCTAAGCAATAAGCATTGTGAGAACAAGAATCAAGCTTGGTTTTGTTTGCCATGGGGTCTCCGCAGCTACCACAGCGCCTGGCACGTGGTCACGGCGGCATGAGTGGGCGATGCTGCGTGATGATCCTGAGGCCCCCCTCAGCAGCATTCTCCAAATTGTAGCCTCAGCTCCCTGGATGCCACACATCCAGTGAATTGTTATACATTTCTCAGTAATTCTCTTATAAGAAAAAGCACCATGAAATAAATTTTTTTGGATAAATTGTTTTTTAAAAAGTAGAAAGAAATAAAAGCCAGTGTTTCCTCAGTCTTTTTGCTTGGCTTCCTAGAGATCATAATTAAGACAGTCTTGCAGCCAGGCTCAGTTGCTCAGCCTGTAATCCCAGCGCTTTGGGAAGCCGAGGTGAGTGGATTGCCTGAGCCCACGGGTTCGAGACCTGCCTGGGCAACTTGGCGAGAACTCATCTCTACAATAAATCAAAAATTGGCCGGGCGCGGTAGCACGTGTCTGTAGTTCCAGCTACTTGGAAGGCTGAGGCGGAAGGATCGCCGGAGCCCAGCAGGTGGAGGCTGCAGTGGCCGGGAGCGGCCGCTGCACTCCAGTCTGGGTGACAGAGTGAGATTCCAACTCAAAAAATAAAAAAAAAAAAGACAGTCTTAAACAGCATGGTCATCCTAAGTGGCATGGCATCACGTAAGTTGTCCAGACAGACATGTAGCTTCTCAATTCTTGGCTGCATCAAGCAAAAGAACGATTCTGTTTTAGGAAGGCAGTGCTGCTTGATGGATCATAAAATGATTGGTCTTCTTTGCAGCAAAGACTACACTCTTTGGCCAGTACCTATTTCAGAATGAACATAAAAAGTTTAGTGGCAGTTTATGGTTCTGGAAAAGTGGTCAGACTTGGGGGAGAAAGAAAACGTTCTTTTTGTTTGTTTTGTGAGGAGTTACTCCTCTGTACTCCAATCTCAGCAGACTCTCCATGTGCCAAAGAACAATCCAGCAAGACAGACCCCTGCCTTAGCTGACCATGAGGTGTTTTTTCCTGACATTACACTCCTTGGTTCTTGTTTAGAGGCTGCTTTAACTAAGTAAATGTCCTTGGGCTTGCATTACTTGCTGGTCAACCTTTAAGAGCAGAGACAACCGCTCCCATGTGGATATCATATGCCCGTCCAACGTCAATAGCAGGGGGCAAAAGAACCAAAGGCACGAGGCATTGCAAGGTCATCTGAGAGCTGGGCGTCCCGAGGCATCGTGTACTTCCCTGCTGCACTGTCTGTGGAACCAGAGGAGCTTTGGGGTTGTGAAACTGCTCTGTGTGCTTCCATATTGGTGGACACATGCCATTATACATTTGCTCTAGCCTACAGAGTGTCCAACACCGGGTGGGCCTTCATGTGAATGTGGACTTTGGGTGCAAGAGCGTGTCAATGGAGCTTCCTCGAGCGCAGCAGACAGACCCCTGGGAGGATGTGGGTGATGTCGGGCAGGGGCTCTAGGGCAAATCTCTGCACCTTCCGCTCAGTTCTGAAAAGCAAATGCTATTTTTAAGATGGTTGTATGTGACTTAACCCAATAACGGCCTCCTTACAACTGTCTTGTTCTCTCTGACACCCCCTTCACGTTGTTTCCAAGGCAAACCTGGGCAAGTCTTCAGCGCCTCTGAAAGTTTCCCATTGCTAGAGGATAAATCCTTCCCGATGTGAGATGCCGCCAAACCCCTTTGCATTTAACTCCACTTAATGCTCAACCCCTTAGAAGCGCACAGGATCATCCACACCGACGATGGCCTTTCCTGAGAGTGGAGCACGGGATCTCTCTGGGACACCCCAGCTCTTCTACCCCAAACAAATCATTTCCTCTTGCTTGAACTCAGCTCACGGCTCTGCTGTGTTCTTCCCAAATTACCAGATAATGTATGATGTCCAGTCTGTGAGCAAGGTTTGTCCTCTCTCTGGATGAGAGCCCAAGGAGTTGAGCTAAAGCGGTTTTATTTACTAAGCCAGGATGTTTTTAAGGAATTCATTTAAGGTAATTGTGCCACTGCACTCCAGCCTGGGTAACAGAGTGAGACCCTGACTCAAAAAATTCAGTTAAAGTAGTGCCGACTGGCCGGGTGCAACAGCTCATGCCTATAATCCCAGCACTTTGGAAGGCCGAGGTGAGAGGATTGCCTGAGCTCACGGGTTCAAGACCAGCATGGGCAGGTTGGTGAGACCTCATCTCTACAATAAATCAAAAAATTAGATGGGCATGGTGGCGCATGCCTGTAGTTCCAGTTACTCGGAAGGCTGAGGCAGAAGGATCACCTGAACCCAGCAGGTTGAGGCTGCGGTGGCCATGAGCGTGCCACTGCACTCTAGCCTGGGTGATGGAGTGAGACTCCGACTCAAAAAAAAGTATGCAGACTACTTATGTGCATATGCACATGTGGGGTGGGGGAGTATTGATTTTTCAATTTGTATTTGACTCCCAGACTGAATTTTTTCTTGTAGCAATTCTGGTGGAAGGACTGATGTGGGAGTGGTCACAGCAGACACCTGAACACAGGTGTCACAGTCTCGCATGGCACTTCCTCGAACATTTGGGAGAAAGAGCAAAACCAAAGCCTGAGCGTCAACTCGCACCGACTGTGATCAAGTGAAACAAGATACTTCAGTTGCGATCTTCCCGAGACCACCTCATTTCTGCTTCCAGGCTTTGACTCACATTCTTATTTCCTCTGTCCTTCCTCACCAAATGTGACGTGAAAGCTTAGACCATGACTGATGTGATTTCTTATGTATTACATATATAAATGCCCTTAAAAGCAACCCCTAACTTTCATCCGCACCGACGATGGCCTTTCCTGAGAGTGGAGGACAGTCCTCTCTAGGACACCCAGCTCTTCTACCCAAAATAAGCCGTTTGTGTGGCTTGCTGCTGGACCGTTTTGGGTTTTGCGGAGGATGCCTGATGCCTGAGTTCACAGAGCCACACCGCCTCTGTGTGCTGAGCTAGTCTGCCTGCGAGGTTCCTTCCTACATGACCCAGTCCCACCACAGGTCCGTGGTGACTTCCCATCACGTCACTGAGAGTCCCCTCTGCTCACCCACTCTGCTCCCTGGTGTATCTCCCTCCATTGTCTGAGCCTGAACAACCGAGGACTATGATGGTCTGTGCTGTCGCCTTCAGAATTTCAATGCCAGACTTGTAATGTGTTCTAAAGGCTAGCTGGATTTTGAGGGAACAAAGACAAACCTACCCCGGCGTCCCCTCCCATTACCCTGCGGGTTCACACTGTCTTCTCCTCCCTTTTCCCTCTCCTTGTCTACTGGATCCTTTCCATTCACTTTTTTTTTTTTTTTTGAGTTGGAGTCTCACTCCGTCGCCTAGGCTGGAGTGCCGTGGCACACTCACGGCCACCCCAGCACTGAGCCGCTGGGCTCAGGCAATCCTGTCACCAAAGCCTTCCAAGTAGCCAGAACTGCAGGCATGCTACCACGACCAGCTAATTTTTTGATTTATTGTGGAGATGAGGTCTCGCCAAGTTGCCC